CCCCAAAACCCCAAAACCCCAAAACCCCAAAACCCCTCAATTTATCATCAGAGTTGAAACAGCTGATTCAGGAGGATATTAACTGTTTTGTTCAGAAATAGAGAGCATCTTCCATCCAATCAAGGAGGTTTAAATAAACTTACTAACACTCACCTACAATTATCAGTTATCTAACAAGAAAGCTAAGTTTTGCTGGCTATTAATTTTGGACCAGACTTAAAAAATTTATAAGTTCAGTTCCCCGAGGAAATTTCTAATACTATTCAAAAATTAGATAAATTTTATAATGGAAAAGTATCAAAAATTAAGCTAATTCAAAAAGTGTTCTGAGGATTTCAGAAGAGAACTTCTAAAGTCCATTTCTTGATAAACACCAGTGGTATCATCCTCATCCATCTCCATTGTGAGCCAAGGATGTTCCATGACTTCATTGATAGTTGGCCTCTTATCAGGATCTTCTGAGAGCAAAGACACTAAAAGGTTGAATGGACCATAAGTGTCATCCATATCCAGTGATTCTTGGGAGGATTCAAATTTTTGGTATTGCATCCAAGATGGTGACCCTCCTGTAGCAACTTCAGAGATAGTGCTTGGTTCTGAAAATAATGAGGCCTCTTTACTTGGCCTCTCACCTGTTAGCAAAATATGTAGTAAGACACCTAACGAATAGACGTCTGCTTTAAATGGGCAGTAAGGTGTATCGCTCTCTCTTGATAAAACTTCAGGAGCCATATAATTTTTAGTTCCAAGAGAAGCTTTTAAACGACCATCACTTGTGGTCATTAACTGAGCAATTCCAAAATCAGTTAACTTTGCGTTATAGTTCGAGTCCAGCAAAATATTATCTGGCTTTATATCAAGATGAACAATGTTTCTTGAATGCAAGTGATGGATCACACTGACAATTTGTGTAAAATAGAATCTTCATGCTTCCAAAGACAGTTTCCCTAATTGTTTCTTCAAGAAGCTAGTAAGTGGGCCGTTTGAACAAAATTCAAGAGCGATATAAGAAATCTCATTTTCTGCTCCTTGGTAATCCTGAATTCCTTCAATGTTAGCTCCAATAAAATCCACAACATTAGGATGCTTCGGGATATGGTTCAGAATGGAGGCTTCGTGAAACATTAGATTCATCTCCTTTTTACGCTCAAATTTCTTATCTTTTCTTATAATCTTGACAGCAAATTCTGAGTCGCAAGTCTCTGCTTTAAAGACCTTTGAAAAACCTCCTTTGCCGATGAAGGAGGTGAGTAGAATTTTTCCATCAATTACTGGGAAAGGGAATCAATCCATCATACTAATTAAAATAGAGCTGATCAAATTATGTATTATTAATCTTCAATCGTTATTTGTTATTAAGGGGTTTTGGGGTTTTGGGGTTTTGGGGTTTTGGGG